GTAGCAGTTGTGTGTTATTAGTGGAATGGGTAGAGGTGGCAATCTTTCACACATGAACAGTGGTATAAAATAATTTTATTTTAACATTCACGCATTTTAACATGAAGTGCCTACTCAATTGTCACTGTAGATATAAAATTGAATGAGCTACAATCATTCAAGACTTTCATGGGGGAGGGAGTGTATACATGTGTGTTCACAGGGCAGTGTAAATAGTTCTCTGGTGGACGTAGCTCCACCTGGAGTCCCTAGGGGAGCACTGAGGCCTTACAGACTAACTCTGCAAGAATGTGAGTTAGCTATTCTATTAAAACAGGACCGCGTTACAAGAGTAAGAGATTCTTACTTGTAAATAGGCTTACCTGCTGAAAACAGGTCCCGGCTGTACAGATTTTGCATAGATAAGTTAGCTCTTTGAATCTAAATTATTTCAATTTTTTTTTCCATGCTGTATAAACACTTTTTGGGTAAGATTTCATTTCTAAAATTGCCTTAGGTATAAACAGTTTGAAAAGTCTGTTCATCATTAAGCTGTTTACATTTTTATATTTATTCCTCAGACTCCCTTCTCTCTGTGTAATATTTTTATCCCATTGTTTGCTTTGTACTTAGTAAAAGATTTCTGAAGTCCAGGATCCTCTTGTATGTACAATAGTGTGTGTTGTTTGCCAGGCATGCCTGAGTGGGTTTTGGGGGATTTTCTCTTTATGTGTAGTTATTATATTTAGAAGTAATTTGGTGCCTTTTGCCCCAGATTTTTTAATCTTGTGTTAGATTAAAAAATTAAAGGATATTTTCTTGCCCTTCAGAATTAAAAAACAGCTTCTGAAATCACAAAAAAAAAAAAAAGTAAATGTTGGTGAGGACACAGAGAAACACATTCTCTTGTACATTGTTGTCACGAATAATACTGCTATTATGAAAAATTAATAGAGCCATTATACAAAAGTGTATGGTGGGGCCCGGGAGATAGCTTAGTAAGCACAAGGTCCTGAGTTCAATCACAGATACCACAAAAAAAAAAAGTGTATGGAAGTTTCTCAAAAAACTAAAAATAGGGGGGCTGGGGAGATGGCTCAGTAGAATAAGTGTTTCCCTGGCAAGCGCTAGGGCCTGAGTTCAATCCCTGGTTCTACAAAAAAACAAAACAAAAACCTAAAAATAAGATTACCACGTGACCCAGCAATCCTACCTCTGGGTATACAGCTAGAGGATTTGAAATAAATACATCCTGTATTTATCTTAGCATTATTCATGACAGGCAAATTATGCAATCAATCTAAATCCATCAATGGAGGGATACATAAAGAAAATTCATGTATTCACCCTTTAAAGGGAGGGAAATTCTAGGACCAGGGATATAGGATATAGCTCTGTGGCACAGCGCCTGCCTACAAACACGAGGTCCTGAGTTTGATTCCTGATGCCAAGAAAGAAAAAAATAGAGGGAAATTCTACAATTTACAACATGGATGAACTGAAAGGGCATTATGTTCAGTGAAATAGGTCGGGGCCGGGGAGATGGCTCAGTAGAATAAGTGCTTCCCTGGCAAGCACAAGGGCCTGAGTTCAATACCCGGTTCCGCCAAAAAAACAAACAAAAACAACAGTGAAATAGGTCAAGGTAAGTAAAGCTTATTCTTGTTCACATGTGAAGTCTAAAACAAGCAAACTCATAGAAAGAAAGAACAGAATGGTTACAAAGGCTGAAAGATGGGAGAATGGGGTCCTGTTGATCAAAATAGATAGTTTTAGTTAGACAAGAGAAATAAATATGTGCGGTGATACATATGTTAAGTAGTATAGTCTAGTCATCCCACATTGTGTGCACATACTATCCATCATTTTATACCCCATAAATATATGCAATTATAATTTGTCAAGACTGGTCACATTTTTTCACACCACCTGAAGTCAAAATGTTCTGGGTTTTTTGGTTTCATTTTTTGGTTTTTTTTTTTTTCTTTTTTTGACACAGGGTCTCACTACGCAGTTCAGATTCACAATGAGCCTCCTGCCTCTGCCTCCCCAGTACTGGCATTACAGGTGCGCACCACCACACCCAGTTTCAGGCCAGCATGACATGCCCAGGGTTCCCAGCTGGCATGGCATTCAGTACTGGGGATCAGACTCAGGACTTTGCACTTTCCAGGCAGGCGCTTAGGCTGCTGAGCTATCTCCCCAGTCCCATTCTCTCTCTCTCTCTCTCTCTCTCTCTCTCTCTCTCTCTCTCTCTCTCTCTCTCGGTGGTACTGGGGATTGAACTCAGGACCTTGTGCTTGCCAGGCAAGTGCTTATTCTACTGAGCTATCTCCCCGGCCCCCCATTCTCATTTTTTTTAAAGATGAGATCTCATTGTGTTCAGGCTCACTTCAAATTTCCTATGCATCCCAAGGAAACATTAAATTCACAATCCTTCTGCCTCACCCTTCCAAGTGCTAGAATCACAGCCATTTGCACCATAGTTGGCTTCTAGTAAAATGTTTGTTTGTTTGTTTGTTTAGTAAAATGTTCTAAATCATTCAGACTAGCAATATCCAAATATTTATGCTCTTACATATACATATTCATAGCAGCATTATTTGTAATAACAAAACAGTAGAAACAACTCAGTCTCCATTGCCTAAAGAAGTGACAAGCAAAATGGTATATTCATACAATGGATTATTTAGACATCAAAAGAAATGCAGCTGGATGTGATGCCTCATGCTTGGAATCCCAGCACTTGGAGGCTGACACAGGAGGACTGATGCAAGTTCAAGCCCAGCCTGAACTATTTATTGGGACTCTGTCTCTCAAAAACAAAAAAAGAAGTACTGATAAAGTTGAAAGGATGCTAATGTTTTAGAGAAGCCAGAAACAAAAGCTACATATTGTATAATCATATATATGAAAAGCTGAGAATAAAAAAGCCATAAAGACAGAAAGTATAAGCTGGGATTGGTGGTGCACACCTGTAAGGAGGCTGAGGGAGGAGGATCCTTGAGAGTTTGAGACCAGCCTGGGCTACAAAGTAAGTCAAGGCCAGCCTGAGCTACCTAGTGAGACCCTGTCTCAAGCTGACAAAAAGAAAGTATAATAGCAATTTCCAGGGGATAGGGGAAGGAGAAATAGCAGGGTGAATGATCATGGGCTTTCAATGGTTTATCATTATAATATTTAATATTACTCCTTTTTTTCCTTTCAGGAAACAATTGGTGACATTCCTGAGTTTGAAGTATTGAATAAAATACTGCCTTTACCAAGCTCTAGGTTAGTAAAATTAAGCTAACCACCTATATGCCTCAGAGTCATAACTGCTAGTTCTAAATTGCTAGATTGAGGAGCTGGGGAGATAGCTCAGTGGCATAAGTGGCTGTCTGGCAAGTGCAGGGTGTACTGAGTTACATCCCCAGTGCCAAAAAATAAATAATAAATAAAAATCTGGATTAAGAAGGCATAGGATGGAGGGGGTGGGTTTCTACTTTTGGTATTTGTATTTGCTCCCAGTTCCTTCTCTCATCGCTACCCTTTTACCCTCACACCCCACAGAATCCTGATTTAAGGTAGATGAGCCATGAGCACAGGTTTAAATTTTATTGGGGTTGATTGTTTGCTTTGCGCTTGGCAGTTATAAAAAGGTGAAATCCTACCAACGCCGTACCCTGCAAGCCCAAACATTTACCAAGCAATCCTACTCATATGATGTCCTCTCACATGATCTTTCTCAGTGCCTCAGGAATAGGTTTGGTAGAGCCAGCTGGAAACAATCGAGAAACCGAAGGACATAAGCCAGAAGCAGCAGCAACAGGGCCAGAGTCCCCAGAGTCTCTTTCCCATTCACAGAATTCTGAAGCTGGATATAAGAATGTGGCTTCTCTGAAACAGACAGACAGCATACAAGAACAAGACCAAAAGTCCAAGCTATAAAAGTACTGGTGTCTCAGACTATACTGATCAAAGCCTGCTAATTTAAAGTTTGGACACAAAGATGGATTATAATATGGAGAAGAGTTTCCACATTTCTACTAGACATTGACCAAGAGTCTTCACAAATGCTGATAAATTCATTAAACAATTTCTAAAAGTGGATTTCTAAAGTTTATTTGATATCCTCAAATTCTTGTATTGTTCTATATAGTGACTTAAGGGCAGGTGAGATAGGGCATGCTGAGCCAGCCACCGAGTCCGGACATAGTGGAGTGCACTTATAATCCCAGCACTGGGGAGGCAGAAAACAGGAGGATCACTACAAATCCAAGCTGCATAGTGAAACCCTGAACCAAATACATTGTATATACATTATATATATATATATATATCAATATATATATAGAGAGAGAGAGAGAGAGAGAGAGAGAGAGACTTAAGTGATTTAGGTTTCTCTCCAGCAGAACCCACTATGGTTAACTCAGCATTCTTTCTCGTTGTTATAGGTAATTTTTATATTTAATTATTATTTAAAAGCAAAAGCAATGTTTGTTGTCTTTTAGGGACAAGGTTTCACTATGCAACACAGGTTGGTCTAGAACTCACTTTGTAGCCCAGGCTGGCCTCAAAACTGCAGTGATCCTTCTGCTTCAGCCTCTCAAGTGCTGGGATTATAGGAGTGTGTGTGTGTGTGTGTGTGTGTGTGTGTGTGTGTGTGTGTGTAGCTCAACCCATCCTGGGAGTGTATTATACAGCCAGGAGTGGTGGTGCACGCCTGTAATCCTAGCATCCTAGCACGCGGGGGCCGGGGAGATGGCTCAGTGGAATGAGTGCTTCCCTGACAAGCGCAAACACCTGAGTTCAATCCCCGGTTCTG